AACTAGAACAGAACTAGAACAGAACTAGAACAGAACTAGAACAGAACTAGAACAGAACTAGAACAGAACTAGAACAGAACTAGAACAGAACTAGAACAGAACTAGAACAGAACTAGAACAGAACTAGAACAGAACTAGAACAGAACTAGAACAGAACTAGAACAGAACTAACTAGAACAGAACTAGAACAGAACTAGAACAGAACTAGAACAGAACTAGAACAGAACTAGAACAGAACTAGAACTAGAAACTAGAACAGAACTAGAACAGAACTAGAACAGAACTAGAACAGAACTAGAACAGAACTAGAACAGAACTAGAAACAGAACTAGAACAGAACTAGAACAGAACTAGAACAGAACTAGAACAGAACTAGAACAGAACTAGAACAGAACTAGAACAGAACTAGAACAGAACTAGAACAGAACTAGAACAGAACTAGAACAGAACTAGAACAGAACTAGAACAGACTAGAACAGAACTAGAACAGAACTAGAACAGAACTTAGGAACAGAACTAGAACAGAACTAGACAGAACTAGAACAGAACTAGAACAGAACTAGAACAGAACTAGAACAGAACTAGAACAGAACTTAGAACAGAACTAGAACAGAACTAGAACAGAACTAGAACAGAACTAGAACAGAAACTAGAACAGAACTAGAACAGAACTAGAACAGAACTAGAACAGAACTAGAACAGAACTAGAACAGAACTAGAACAGAACTAGAACAGAACTAGAACAGAACTAGAACAGAACTAGAACAGAACTAGAACAGAACTAGAACAGAACTAGAACAGAACTAGAACAGAACTAGAACAGAACTAGAACAGAACTAGAACAGAACTAGAACAGAACTAGAACGAACAGAACTAGAACAGAACTAGAACAGAACTAGAACAGAACTAGAACAGAACTAGAACAGAACAGAACTAGACAGAACTAGAACAGAACTAGAACAGAACTAGAACAGAACTAGAACAGAACTAGAACAGAACTAGAACAGAACTAGAACAGAACTAGAACAGAACTAGAACAGAACTAGAACAGAACTAGAACAGAACTAGAACAGAACTAGAACAGAACTAGAACAGAACTAGAACAGAACTAGACAGAACTAGAACAGAACTTGAACAGAACTTGAACAGAACTTGAACAGAACTAGAACAGAACTAGAACAGAACTAGAACAGAACTAGAACAGAACTAGAACAGAACTAGAACAGAACTAGAACAGAACTAGAACAGAACTACTAGAACAGAACTAGAACAGAACTAGAACAGAACTAGAACAGAACTAGAACAGAACTAGAACAGAACTAGAACAGAACTAGAACAGAACTAGAACAGAACTAGAACAGAACTAGAACAGAACTAGAACAGAACTAGAACAGAACTAGAACAGAACTAGAACAGAACTAGACAGAACTAGAAGAGAACTAGAAGAGAACTAGAACGAACTAGAAGAGAACTAGAACAGAACTAGAACGGAACTAGAACAGAACTAGAACAGAACTAGAACAGAACTAGAACAGAACTAGAACAGAACTAGAACAGAACTAGAACAGAACTAGAACAGAACTAGAACAGAACTAGAACAGAACTAGAACAGAAGTAGATTTTATGATTTTGGAAAAAAAAATATTTTACGTTTTTAAAAAATAAACATTTTGGAAGAATTTTTTTAATATTGATTGTTTTACCCAATTAGCCTTTATTAAATAAAAAAATTAGAAAAATTAAAAAAAAAAAAAAAAATTTTTATTTGAAAAAAACTATGCAATAAAATATTAAACATCTTTTTATAGTACTCTTAATAAATATTTTAAACTATATATTACCAATTGTATTAATAACATAAAAAATATCATTAATTTATATTATTATATTTATATTGTGTTAATAAAAATTATTATTAATTTATATTAATACTTAAGTTTTTTTCATTGGAAGCAAATATTATAAAAAAACCACAAAAGGAAATTGTTTTTAATATGCTTTTTTATAGAACAATAATGAAATACTAAAACACACTAACTAACATTTTTTTCTTTTGCTAAAATATTTTTATTCTGAATGGTTTTTAAAGGGATATCAATTAGTTTCTAATTCATGATTTGAACAAATTTAGTTAATTGCTAACAACTTTTCATCATTGGAAATTATAATAGATATGACTACATAGAAATGTTGGAGTGGAGATAATGTTGTGATATCTATTTGTCATGGTTACAGCAGAAAAAAAAAATATTGAAAAAAAACTTGAAAATTTTTGCGGTTTTCTTATAGCAAAACTATTAGAAATATTTTATTCATAGAAATACTACAAATACTTTATGACTTAATGCTCTCAAGGGGGCTTCCCCATAGAGGTTTTAGAGAAAATTTTACAATTAAAGGTTTATTAATCATTAAGGCGAAATTGATTTGCTAGAAAATTCTTTCTGCTAAATCACAACTCACCCATAAAAAATAATTACAACAATTTGGTCTCTAAAAGAAATTAGAAAATATTTGTCAAATAAAAAAGTTGAAAATTCTTAAGAAGTTAAGAACACCAAGTAGATTAGTCAACTTTCGAGATTAAAATTAATTTTTTAGTAACAAATTGTCAACAGACAAACCATCACCCTATTTTCAAAATTTAACATACATATTGACGTCATTCGTCAAAGAAAATCTTTTGAATATGATTTATTTCTCTCAAATATGACAAGATACCTTCCATATTTTATTAAGATTTTAAATACTAAAATGTCTTATTTATTTCAATAAATTTTAACAATCAATCAACATTTTGATAAAATTATTGACAGTGATATTAAAATGTTTTTCAAAATCTATTTGAGACTTAAATCTTCAAATATGCTTTTCATTATCTATTTGACAGAATTGTTGAGAATTTAAATCACAAATTGTCAGTTTTAAATCAAAGTGTCTAAAAAGCCTAAAGCAGTCTAACTGAGACTCAATTGACAGCGTCATATTAAAGACAATTTTGAAATCTAAAGATAAAAATATTTACGATAGAGCTGAAATAGAACAGAACTAGAACAGAACTAGAACAGAACTAGAACATAACTATAACAGAACTAGAACAGAACTAGAACAGAACTAGAACAGAACTAGAACAGAACTAGAACAGAACTAGAACAGAACTAGAACAGAACTAGAACAGAACTAGAACAGAACTAGAATAGAACTAGAACAAAACTGGAACAGAACTAGAACAGAACTAGAACGGAACTAGAACTAGAACAGAACTAGAACAGAACTAGAACAGAACTTAGAACAGAACTAGAACAGAACTAGAACTGAACTAGAACAGAACTAGAACAGAACTAGAACAGAACTAGAACAGAACTAGAACTAGAACAGAACTAGAACAGAACTAGAACACAACTAGAACACAACTAGAACAGAACAAAACTAGAACAGAACACAACTAGAACAGAACTAGAACAGAACTAGAACAGAACTAGAACAGAACTAGAACAGAACTAGAGCAGAACTAGAACAGAACTAGAACAGAACTAGAACAGAACTAGAACAGAACTAGAACAGAACTAGAACAGAACTAGAACAGAACTAGAACAGAACTAGACAGAACTAGAACAGAACTAGAACAGAACTAGAACAGAACTAGAACAGAACTAGAACAGAACTAGAACAGAACTAGAACAGAACTAGAACAGAACTAGAACAGAACTAGAACAGACTAGAACAGAACTAGAACAGACTAGAACTAGAACTAGAACAGAACTAGAATAGAACTAGAACAGAACTAGAACAGAACTAGAACAGAACTGAACGAACTAAACAGAACTAGAACAGAACTAGAACAGAACTAGAACAGAACTAGAACAGAACTAGAACAGAACTAGAAACAGAACTAGAACAGAACTAGAACAGAACTAAAACAGAACAGAACTGAAACAGAACAGAACTAGAACAGAACACACCACACAATTAGAACACAACTAGAACAGAACTAGAACAGAACTAGAACACAACTAGAACACAACTAAAACACAACTAGAACACAACTAGAATACAACTAGAACACAACTAGAACATAACTAGAACACAACTAGAACACAACTGAAACACAACTAGAACACAACTAGAATACAACTAGAACATACTAGAAACAACTAGAACACAACTAGAACACAACTAGAACACAACTAGAACACAACTAGAATACAACTAGAACACAACTAGAACACAACTAGAACATAACTAGAACACAACTAGAACTCAACTAGAACACAACTAGAACACAACTAGAACAAAGCTAGAACAGGACCAGGACAGTTTTTTTGCTAAAATAAATGTTTACCAAACTTTTAGTCGGAAGTTGCTTTGGTACTTTTTCGTATAGTATTTAAAGCCTACACCACTATAGTGGGGAGGGTGTTATGAGTTTGTGCCGATTTTTTTAACGCACAAAAATATTGGTTCTACACCCACCTTGAAATATGCCCATCGACTCAGAATCACTTTCTGAGTCGATTACGATATGTCCGTCCGTCCATCCGTCTGTCTGGCAGGATGTCCATGTAAACCTTGTGCGCAAGCTATAGACCACATTTTTCACAAAATTTGTACCATGCGACTCAAGGACGATGCCTGTTGAAAATGGTTAAAATCGGTCCATTATTTTCACTTTAGTCCCTATACAACCTGACCTTCCAATTAGGGGTTTTTAATTCAGAACTACATCAAATATACTACTATCTCTCCATAAATGACCACTAATGTCGGAAAAGTGAAGAAATGTGACTATACTTTCCTACTTGTTTTCTGTTTCATTTGTTTTAACATATAAGATAACTTATACTATTTTGTTATGTTTTGGTACTTTTTACAAAAAAGTACTTTTGCACAATTTTTACAGATTTTTATTTTTGGTTGGAAATAGTTTCTTGTTAGTTATTCTTTGTGTTAGTCCATTTAGTTAGATATTTTGAAGTAAAGAAAGGTTATTTTTGACTTACCACTGTACTATCTGTATTATTCAACACCGTATCCTTATTCTCGTCCTTTTCTGGTGTGAAACTATTCTTCTGGCGAGCATGAAATTTAAAACGAGGAAAACAGGCCATGATGAAGACCTTTTCGATTAACAAATATTTCACAAATTTATTTAACAATTCTATGATTTCTTTAAACAAATAACAATAATTTTTTGGCAATAAAGCTTTGTAATTATATAATAAATGAACATGATTAACGGAATGTATAAAAACACTATAATTATTTAATATCAATAAAATAGGCTTCTTTTATAGACGTTTATTAGGTATTCAAAGGCGCGTGTTGTCTGGCTGTTTTCTTTCAAACATAAACGATGATTTGGCACAAATTACTGAAAGTAAAAGAATATAAAATAAAAGGATAAATAATAATTACAATAATCAATAACAAAGTAAAATGTAATTTGTGTGTAATAATTGTTAATATAATTTTCTGCTTAAATTTACTTTCATTTATAACAATAATTTTATTTGAATAGAATATAAAAACAAATAACAAATATTAATCTAACGCACGATTTAGATAAGAAACTTGTTATTCTGTTTATTAGGGCTAAAAGGGTTGAAATGGGTCTAAACTATTTTTTGGGGCTTTCAAATCCCCTTTTGCCCTCTTCAGTACACAACACATGTTGTCACATATTTTTGAATGACGAAACTTCTATATATTAAAAGCTTGTTAGCTTATCTTGGCGCATAGCTGCTTATTTGTCTACAAATTGACGAAAATTATAGGTAATTTTATTTTATTTATTAATTTTTTTTTTTATTTGTTGTATGTTTTTCCTCTACGTCAATTTATTTAACTTGTTTTTTTTTTAAAACGTTTCATTTTGAATTATTTATTTGTTATCAATACACTTGAACAATTTGTTCACAATTGATTAGATTTTGCATTTAGCTAATAGTAGTTTTTTTTAATGTTTCAAATTATTCTACCAGAAATACAAGACATTTCAAAACATAGAAATTCTTTTGCTATTTTCTCGCCTTTAGATTATTAAATGCTAAAGTTGAAACGATTGTAATCCCCTCGATTACAGGAGAATTTTTATACATTAATGATTAGGCAAAGACCTTGTAAAATTTCTTTACAAATTTTTTGAAGATTAGACCATAAATTAAAGTTCTGTTCTAGTTATAGTTCTGTTCTAGTTTAGTTCTGTTCTAGTTCTGTTCTAGTTCTGTTCTAGTTCTGTTCTAGTTCTGTTCTAGTTCTGTTCTAGTTCTGTTCTAGTTCTGTTCTAGTTCTGTTCTAGTTCTGTTCTAGTTCTGTTCTAGTTCTGTTCTAGTTCTGTTCTAGTTCTGTTCTAGTTCTGTTCTAGTTCTGTAGTTCTGTTCTAGTTCTGTTCTAGTTCTGTTCTAGTTCTGTTCTAGTTCTGTTCTAGTTCTGTTCTAGTTCTGTTCTAGTTCTGTTCTAGTTCTGTTCTAGTTCTGTTCTAGTTTGTTCTAGTTGGTTCGTTCGTTCTAGTTCGTTCTAGTTCGGTTCTAGTTCTGTTCTAGTTCTGTTCTAGTTCTGTTCTAGTTCTGTTCTAGTTCTGTTCTAGTTCTGTTCTAGTTCTGTTCTAGTTCTGTTCTAGTTCTGTTCTAGTTCTGTTCTAGTTCTGTTCTAGTTCTGTTCTAGTTCTGTTCTAGTTCTGTTCTAGTTCTGTTCTAGTTCTGTTCTAGTTCTGTTCTAGTTCTGTTCTAGTTCTGTTCTAGTTCTGTTCTAGTTCTGTTCTAGTTCTGTTCTAGTTCTGTTCTAGTTCTGTTCTAGTTCTGTTCTAGTTTCTGTTCTAGTTCTGTCTAGTCTGTTCTAGTTCTGTTCTAGTTCTGTCTAGTTCTGTTCTGTTCTGTTCTAGTTCGTTCTAGTTCTGTTCTAGTTCTGTTCTAGTTCTGTTCTAGTTCTGTTCTAGTTCTGTTCTAGTTCTGTTCTAGTTCTGTTCTAGTTCTGTTCTAGTTCTGTTCTAGTTTCTGTTCTAGTTCTGTTCTAGTTCTGTTCTAGTTCTGTTTCTAGTTCTGTTCTAGTTCTGTTCTAGTCGTCTAGTTCTGTTCTAGTTCTGTTCTAGTTGTTCTGTTCTGTCTAGTTCTTGTTCTAGTTCTGTTTCTAGTTCTGTTCTAGTGTCTGTTCTAGTTCTGGTCTAGTTTGTTCTAGTTCTGTTCTAGTTCTGTTCTAGTTCTGTTCTAGTTCTGTTCTAGTTCTGTTCTAGTTCTGATTCTAGTTCTGTTCTAGTTCTGTTCTAGTTCTGTTCTAGTTCTGTTCTAGTTCTGTTCTAGTTCTGTTCTAGTTCTGTTCTAGTTCTGTTCTAGTTCTGTTCTAGTTCTGTTCTAGTTCTGTTCTAGTTCTGTTCTAGTTCTGTTCTAGTTCTGTTCTAGTTCTAGTTCTGTTCTAGTTCTGTTCTAGTTGTGTTCTAGTTCTGTTCTAGTTCTGTTCTAGTTCTGTTCTAGTTCGGTTCTAGTTCGGTTCTAGTTCTGTTCTAGTTCTGTTCTAGTTCTGTTCTAGTTCTGTTCTAGTTCTGTTCTAGTTCTGTTCTAGTTCTGTTCTAGTTCTGTTCTAGTTCTGTTCTAGTTCTAGTTCTGTTCTAGTTCTGTTCTAGTTCTGTTCTAGTTCTGTTCTAGTTCTGTTCTAGTTCGGTTCTAGTTCGGTCTAGTTCTGTTCTAGTTCTGTCTAGTTCTGTTCTAGTTCTGTTCTAGTTCTGTTCTAGTTCTGTCCTAGTTCTGTTCTAGTTCTGTTCTAGTTTTGTTCTAGTTCTGTTCTAGTTCTGTTCTAGTTCTGTTCTAGTTATGTTCTAGTTGTGTTCTAGTTGTGTTCTAGTTGTGGTTCTAGTTGTGTTCTAGTTGTGTTCTAATTGTGTTCTAATTGTGTTTAGTTGTGTTCTAGTTGTGTTCTAGTTGTGTTCTAGTTCTGTTCTAGTTCTGTTTTAGTTTTGTTCTAGTTGTGTTCTAGTTCTAGTTGTGTTCTAGTTGTGTTCTAGTTCTGTTCTGGTTCTGTTTCTAGTTCTGTTCTAGTTCTGTTCTAGTTCTGTTCTAGTTCTGTTCTAGTTCTTTTCTAGTTCTGTTCTAGTTCTGTTCTAGTTCTGTTCTAGTTCTGTTCTAGTTCTGTTCTAGTTCTGTTCTAGTTCTGTTCTAGTTCTAGTTCTGTTCTAGTTCTGTTCTAGTTGTGTTCTAGTTCTGTTCTAGTTCTGTTCTAGTTAGGTCTGTTCTGTTCTGTTCTGTTCTAGTTCTGTTCTGTTCTGTTCTAGTTCTGTTCTAGTTCTGTTCTAGTTCTGTTCTAGTTCTGTTCTAGTTCTGTTCTAGTTCTGTTCTAGTTCTGTTCTAGTTCTGTTCTATGTATGTTCTAGTTCTGTTCTAGTTGTGTTCTAGTTGTGTTCTAGTTGTGTTCTAGTTGTGTTCTAGTTGTGTTCTAGTTCTGTTCTAGTTCTGTTCTAGTTCTGTTCTAGTTCTGTTCTAGTTCTGTTCTAGTTCTGTTCTAGTTCTGTTCTAGTTCTGTTCTAGTTCTGTTCTAGTTCTGTTCTAGTTCTGTTCTCGTTCTGTTCTGGTTCTGTTCTAGTTCTGTTCTAGTTCTGTTCTAGTTCTGTTCTAGTTCTGATCTAGTTCTGTTCTAGTTCTGTTCTAGTTCTGTTCTAATTCTGTTCTAGTTCTGTTCTAGTTCTGTTCTAGTTCTTTTCTAGTTCTTTTCTAGTTCTTTTCTAGTTCTGTTCTAGTTATGTTCTAGTTCTGTTCTAGTTGTGTTCTAGTTGTGTTCTAGTTATGTTCTAGTTGTGTTCTGGTTGTGTTCTAGTTGTATTCTAGTTGTGTTCTAGTTCGGTTCTAGTTTTATTCTAGTTCTGTTCTAGTTCTGTTCTAGTTCTGTTCTAGTTCGGTTCGTGTTTGGTTCAAGTTCTGTTCTTGTTCTGTTATAGTTCTTCTTTTGTTCTTTTCTGGATCTTTTGTGAACAAGTTCCAGAAGGTTAATTAATAAAACTTTCATCAAAATGTTGCTTGCCTTAGTAATCTCATAAAATGTCTTTTATGTTTGTAGAAGACATATAACCGTGTGTTTTTAATTAATAATTTTAAATAAATTTTTTTTATAGATAATTTCCGGTTTTTTAGAAACATCAAAAGAGAGCTGCGAGAAACCTAACAGTTGGCTTTTTAAAGAAATTTTTAATTCAATACGTTTCAAGTGCAAATAATTAATGAAGTAATCTTTACTTTTATCTGGAATTATTCCGAAAATATTTTAAAAAAATATATAAATTAAAATAAATTTTTACCTTTTTTGTACACAATTTTATACTCCATCTACTAAATAAAAATGACAACACAAATATTTTATGTAGAAAAACGAAATTGCCACAGCATCAAAAATATTTAACAGGTTGGCAGAAAAGAAAAAAATTAACACTATTTACTGCAATCTTCTTACACTTTTTTCAAACAAATTTCCGGTTTCCGGTCACATTAAAAAAATGAGAATTTAAAAAACGACAACACACAACCACAAAATGCCATTTTAACATTTGTTGTGCATAAAACATTTTTTTGTTGCAGTAATTTTTTTGTATTTAAATCATTAAATATTTATTATAGAAACTGGTAAAGGTAATTATTTTATATTTTTTATTTATTTTTTTTTTAAGAATTTATGGAGGTATTACACCAAAACACCTTTTATTTTAATTAATTATGTGTAATAATTTTTGTATTATTTTTCCATTAAATTTTCTTTTTATTTTACGTTTTTTCGTAATTATTTCCATTTCATTTTGTAATATTATTTGTTTTTTTTCGTTCTTTGTCATAAAAAATGAAATTGAAATGTTTCGTAGTTGCAAAAGACGAACACAAAAAAAATCGAGTGAAAACACCTGCTATCTTGGAAGCTGATAACTCAACTAATTTAACGCATTCAATTTAAATTGCCAATTTACGAGTAGTGGAAAAAAATAAAATAAAGTACAAAATTATACACGTACAATCATATCATTTGAAGAAGTACTAAATGAAGCATATACACACACCGATAAACTCAAACGGAGGGACAGACAGACATTAAAAGTACAAGTATAGCTGGTGGGGTTTTTTGGTATTGTGAGTCTATTAAGGGGTGTTGCGGCAAGAACTTAACCTAGAAACAGTGGGCTATATGAGGAAAAGTAAAGGCGCTTAATGATTTCTTGTGTAAAACTTAGTTGAAGGTCGTTTCAGTTCTTATGTAGTTGAGTTCTAGTTCATTTATAGTTCAGTTCTAGTTTACTTTTAGTTCAGTTCTAGTTAAGTTCTAGCTAACTTCTAGTTAAGTTCTGGTTCAATTCTAATTCAGTTCTAGTTCAGTTCTAGTTCAGTTCTAGTTCAGTTCTAGTTCAGCTCTAGTTTCAGTTCTAGTTCAGTTCTAGTTCAGTTCTAGTTCAGTTCTTGTTCAGTTTCTAGTTCAGTTCTAGTTCAGTTCTAGTTCAGTTCTAGTTCAGTTCTAGTTCAGTTCTAGTTCAGTTCTAGTTCAGTTCTAGTTCAGTTCTAGTTCAGTTCTAGTTCAGTTCTAGTTCAGTTCTAGTTCTGTTCTAGTTCTGTTCTAGTTCTGTTCTAGTTCTGTTCTAGTTCTGTTCTAGTTCTGTTCTAGTTCTGTTCTAGTTCTGTTCTAGTTCTGTTCTAGTTCTGTTCCAGTTCTGTGTCTAGTTCTGTTCTAGTTCTGTTCTAGTTCTGTTCTAGTTCTGTTCTAGTTCTGTTCTAGTTCTGTTCTAGGTTCTGTTCTGTTCTAGTTCTGTTCTAGTTCTGTTCTAGTTCTGTTCTAGTTCTGTTCTAGTTCTGTTCTAGTTCTGTTCTAGTTCTGTTCTAGTTCTGTTCTAGTTCTGTTCTAGTTCTGTTCTAGTTCTGTTCTAGTTCTGTTCTAGTTCTGTTCTAGTTCTGTTCTAGTTCTGTTCTAGTTCTGTTCTAGTTCTGTTCTAGTTCTGTTCTAGTTCTGTTCTAGTTCTGTTCTAGTTCTGTTCTAGTTCTGTTCTAGTTCTGTTCTAGTTCTGTTCTAGTTCTGTTCTAGTTCTGTTCTAGTTCTGTTCTAGTTCTGTTCTAGTTCTGTTCTAGTTCTGTTCTAGTTCTGTTCTAGTTCTGTTCTAGTTCTGTTCTAGTTCTGTTCTAGTTCTGTTCTAGTTCTGTTCTAGTTCTGTTCTAGTTCTGTTCTAGTTCTGTTCTAGTTCTGTTCTGTTCTAGTTCTGCTCTAGTTCTGCTCTAGTTCTGTTCTAGTTCTGTTCTAGTTCTGTTCTAGTTCTGTTCTAGTTCTGTTCTAGTTCTGTTCTAGTTCTGTTCTAGTTCTGTTCTAGTTCTGTTCTAGTTCTGTTCTAGTTCTGTTCTAGTTCTGTTCTAGTTCTGTTCTAGTTCTGTTCTGTTCTAGTTCTGTTCTAGTTCTGTTCTAGTTCTGTTCTAGTTCTGTTTCTAGTTCTTTCTAGTTCTGTTCTGTTCTAGTTCTGCTCTAGTTCTGTTCTAGTTCTGTTCTAGTTCTGTTCTAGTTCTGTTCTAGTTCTGTTCTAGTTCTGTTTAGTTCTGTTCTAGTTCTGTTCTAGTTCTGTTCTAGTTCTGTTCTAGTTCTGTTCTAGTTCTGTTCTAGTTCTGTTCTAGTTCTGTTCTAGTTCTGTTCTAGTTCTGTTCTAGTTCTGTGTTCTAGTTCTGTTCTAGTTCTGTTCTAGTTCTGTTCTAGTTCTGTTCTAGTTCTGTTCTAGTTCTGTTCTAGTTCTGTTCTAGTTCTGTTCTAGTTCTGTTCTAGTTCTGTTCTAGTTCTGTTCTAGTTCTGTTCTAGTTCTGTTCTAGTTCTGTTCTAGTTCTGTTCTAGTTCTGTTCTAGTTCTGTTCTAGTTCTGTTCTAGTTCTGTTCTAGTTCTGTTCTAGTTCTGTTCTAGTTCTGTTCTAGTTCTGTTCTGTTCTAGTTCTGTTCTAGTTCTGTTCTAGTTCTGTTCTAGTTCTGTTCTAGTTCTGTTCTAGTTCTGTTCTAGTTCTGTTCTAGTTCTGTTCTAGTTCTGTTCTAGTTCTGTTCTAGTTCTGTTCTAGTTCTGTTCTAGTTCTGTTCTAGTTCTGTTCTAGTTCTGTTCTAGTTCTGTTCTAGTTCTGTTCTAGTTCTGTTCTAGTTCTGTTCTAGTTCTGTTCTAGTTCTGTTCTAGTTCTGTTCTAGTTCTGTTCTAGTTCTGTTCTAGTTCTGTTCTAGTTCTGTTCTAGTTCTGTTCTAGTTCTGTTCTAGTTCTGTTCTAGTTCTGTTCTAGTTGCGTTCTAGTTCACTTCTAGTCCTGTTATAGTTTTTGGCCTTAAGTAGTTTCCTTCTCACTTTTGCTAATATCTATCAATTCGACAACAATCTCCATTTTTCTATTCGTTATTACAGCCATTTATATCTGCAATTCAAATCATTACTGCAATTTGACTAACTAATAACACAATTAATTGGCGAAATAGTTAATTAACTAATTAGTTAGTTAATTAGCTAATTAAACAACATTCTATCCCACTGTTAGAATTCAGTTTTCTCATGAAATGAGTTAAAAAAAGAAGAAAATATAAACGTAATTTTGTCGCCTACAATTACAAATAATAGCAAAAATAAAAACAACAACAATACTTAACAAATAAACCAAGAATATTTATTTTAGAGTTGTTGTTTTTGTTTCTTTTGTGGTTGTTGTTATAATTGTTATTGTTCTACTTCTTTAGCCCCAACAAACACTCATTGAGTAAGCAGAGGCAACTCATAAAAATAAATACAACAAAAAAAAAAAAGAAACAACAACTGAAAACAATCATAAAATAAAAAACAAATAAAATTTTGTATTTATTTTCTTTGACGTTTTTTTTGTTTTGTTTCTACTTTTAATGTGTGGTTAATGTTGTTTTTGTTGTTGCTATTACTGTTTCGATTTATTTATTTGTTTGATTGTGAATGAGTGATATTGATAACAAACCCCTTTACAGCCATACATACAGGCATGTGTGTGTTTGTTTTAGAGAGAGTCTGGGGGTGAGTATAAGAAATGAAAACAAACCTGAGCAATAAACAACAATAACAACAATACAAAAGGTGTAAGCAAATCAACTGTAAATATTTATATACATACATATGTATGTACATATGTATGTGTGTTTGCATGTTTGTTTACTCACACATTAACTACCGTGAAGAGAAATTGTGGAAAAAGGCCGTTAAGAAATTGTTATTTTGTTTTGTAAATGATAAAAAAATATGTGGAAAAATTACAACAATTTATAAATAAATAAACATTACTTTTGTTGCTATTATAAAAAAGCACTGTCTTAACTACAAATATTTTACAAAATAAATAAAATATTGTAAAAGAAAATGTATAAAATACCGGAAGAAACAGTGAAGAGTTCAATTCCATTTTGAAGCTAAAAAAACAATGTATCTATAATAGTTGTTGTTTGTAATCGACAAAATATTATTAATTATTACTTTAAGACTTTTGCTAGCTTTAAAAATGTTTATTGAAATTTTAAACAACTTATGTTAATTTTATATACAACAGTTACTTGTTTTAACAAATTTAACTGTTTTTTTATTTATTGAACAATATAGACAATATTTAATTTACATATTTAATTGTTTATTTTTGGGCCACATGTCTGCATTGCATTACACTGACAGATGTTTAGGGGTTTTTGAAGAAAATTATATTTAATAAACAAATGACTAAAAAACCTTAAATAATTAACATAAACAAGCAATAACAAATACTCGTCAATAGCCTAGACTATAAACTATACCACAGCCTAGATTATAGACTAGACTATAGACTAGACTATAGACTATACTATAGACTAGACTATAGACTAGACTATAGATTAGACTATAGACTAGACTAGACTATAGACTAGACTATAGACTAGGACTATAGACTAGACTATAGACTAGACTATAGACTAGACTATAGACAAGACTATAGACTTAACTATAGACTATACTATAGACTAGACTATAGACTAGACTATAGTCTAGACTATAGACTAGACTATAGACTAGGCTATAGACTAGACTATAGACTAGACTATAGACTAGACTATAGACTAGACTATAGACTAGACTATAGACTAAACTATAGACTAGACTATATACTAGATTATAGACTAAACTATAGAATAGACTATAGACTAGACTATAGACTAGACTATATACTAGACTATAGACTAGACTATAGACTAGACTATAGACTAGACTATAGACTATAGACTAGACTATAGACTAGACTATATACTAGACTAATAGACTAGACTAGACTATAGACTAGACTATAGACTAGACTATAGACTAGACTATAGACTAGACTATAGACTAGACTATAGACTAGACTATAGACTAGACTATAGACTAGACTATAGACTAGACTATAGACTAGACTATAGACTAGACTATAGACTAGACTATAGACTAGACTATAGACTAGACTATAGACTAGACTATAGACTAGACTATAGACTAGACTATAGACTAGACTATAGACTAGACTATAGACTAGACTATAGACTAGACTATAGACTAGACTATAGACTAGACTATAGACTAGACTATAGACTAGACTATAGACTAGACTATAGACTAGACTATAGACTAGACTATAGACTAGACTATAGACTAGACTAGACTAGACTATAGACTAGACTATAGACTAGACTATAGACTAGACTATAGACTAGACTATAGACTAGACTATAGACTAGACTATAGACTAGACTATAGACTAGACTATAGACTAGACTAGACTATAGACTAGACTATAGACTAGACTACTATAGACTAGACTATAGACTAGACTATAGACTAGACTATAGACTAGACTATAGACTAGACTATAGACTAGACTATAGACCAGACTATAGACTAGACTATAGACCAGACTATAGAC